TACCTGGTTCGCTGGGGTTAGGCTGGGTGACAATTGTGCCGCAAGGCTCCCGGGGCGGAAACGCCAAAGCTTCGCGACCCAGAAATCTTGGACGGGGAAAACCTTCAAAGCACCGCGGCTCATTTACAACATTATACTTTTCCCGACATTGAAACTAGCGAACACCAGGCCACCTACAATCTTTTTTATTTTTCATTTTTTTAATCGAACCTGTCATACCACCCAAATCCCGACATTCCTCAATACCTCCGTTCTTACCATTCTCTTCATCTATTCCCCAAAGATCGCATCCAATATTGACTTTGCGGGGCAGACAAGGGTAAGAGAAAAAAAAAAAGGTACCAGCGCATGTTTATCGACCACTTATCAGTCATCTTTCTTAGTGACTGAGGCTGCTGAGGTGGCCTGACCCATGTCTTTCGGCGACATAATTTTACCGTCCTTTCTCTTCTGACTTCAGTGGACTGGCATTGGTTTAGTGGTATTCTGTCACTGGCATTGGCACTAATCAATGCAGTCAGTTAGTGCTAAAATGAAAGATGCCGACATGGATCCAGTGCATCGACATCCCAGCAGGCCTGGTCCTCAATCACCACCGCCAGCTTCAGCTCCAAACAACAAATTTGGATCTAAGGTCCATTCTCGAGATGTTGCGATGAAACACGATCAGAGCAATAAAGATTTTGACAACGACGACCACGACCGCGTCCGCGATCGCAGGGATCGAGATAAATTTGATCCAGACCGTCGAGTCTCAGTTATCAATTCCCATTCTAGGCCACCTGCATCGCGATCTCAGTCACCCGCTTCCCGACGCCGAGAAGGCTACAGTGTCAGGACCGGGAATACTCGCGACGAGCCATTTCCACGGCAGAACGACAGGCCTTACAAGACCGATGTAAATCAACGTGGTCGATCGCAAGATCGAAGTAGGAACCCAGAGGACGACGGCTCTCGTGAGGTCAAGGATCGCCCTTTGCGGGACCACAGTAGGCACCGCAATATACCTACATCCCCTAGACACGGTCCGAGAAGCAACGATTACGCGAGTCACGGTGCTAGAGGCCGATCCTTTTCACCAACGTCTAGAAAAAGACGGAGGAGCCGGAGCCCGCTCCCTTTCCTACCTTCGCGGCCCAAGAAATCTCGGCGCGAGCGTGAACGTGACCGCCGACGTCGCGCTGAACGGGCGGAAAGGGTAGAGAGGGATCAGCCGAAAAGTTCCATCCCCGCATCCTCTCGTAGACGTTCTCTTTCACCCCCTTACGACAACGAGTCACATTCTAGGCGTGCCGACCGTAGCGAACTACTCGAGCCGCATCGAAATCACCATCATAGTCGTTCGCCGGCCCGTGAAGATAATTCTGAACAGGACCCTTCTCTTCCTCCGCCTCATCCACGAGGAGACTCCCAAAATCGAGGTCGCAGTCGTTCTCAGCGTTCCAGTTCTCGGCGGTCATCCTTCTCACGCACACACTCACCATCCCGTCCACTTGATCGACAGCACCACGGTTCATCGGAAGCCGGCTCACGATCACGTCGGTCATCTCCTGCTTTTGAACCCCCTAGGCCTGATTTTCCGCCCAGGTCACCTAGAGAGCGCGGGTCTCGTCGTTCTCGCAAGAAGGGCAAGCATCGTGAAGATTCTAAATTCCCTCTTGGGGGTCAGTTAGCGTCCGGTGCGAACAGTATCGAAGTCAATATGTCCAGGCGGTTAGAGCACCGAGGTCCTTCGAATACACAAGCGCCTCCTACTCGCCCCGGGAATTCTCAATATAACGATCGTCGACCTGCTCACTCAGCCCGTTCGCCGTTACGCCCCAACTCGGGCTCATCTTTCCATGATTCCCCGGCATCACAATCACCGTATGGTAGTGGTAGGGCGGCTTGGAGTAATCAACGCCAAGGCTCACCCCACAGGTATGCTCAACTGAATCCCTATAAATCCAAATCATTTACTCATCATGGCAAATCTAGTCAGTATTCTGCACAGCGTCCTCGAAGTAGTCATGGACCTCCTACTGGCCCCTCAGGCCACCACGCCTCAGGCCAGTCACCTCAGCCGCCAACCGGGCCTATGTCCCAATCTTACCCTCACAACCGTAATTTTTCTAGAGGGGGCTTTCGGGGTAGCTCACACCCCGTTCGAGGTAATTATCGGAATGTGGGGGGTGCTCAAAATGCTCAGCGATCAGGCGTTGGTAGAGGCATCCCCAGCCATTCCAGAGAGAATACTCCTCAGCATTATCATAGTCCACAGCATTCGACGTCAAACCATCCAGACCTAGCTGGAGCAAAGGAAGAGAGAGATGATGACAATGATGCATCCAGAGCATCAAAGACCCACAATGAAGATTTGTTATCGGAGAAGAATACTAACGAGCAGATGCCTCCGCCTCGACCCCCTCCCTCAGCTCCGACGGGTCCTGCAAGTTCGAAATTCAGCTTTGCCTTTAAGGCAACGAATAAAGCACCGGTTGCGACCCCAAAGCCAGAAATCTCTCAAAGGTTCAACACGGCCCCTAAAAAGGAGCCACCCCCACTCGCTGATGATCGAGATCGTGACCGAGACCGCGAGCGAGAACGAGAGCGTGAGCGTGATAGAGAGCGCGAACGTGAACGTGAACGGGAGCGTGAGCGTGAGAGGGAGCGTGAGAGGCAGCGTGAGCGTGACCGGGACCGGGACCGGGACCGGGACTTACCTCGAGATACTCCAAGGGAGCCTGCTTCTGCAAGAGCAAGGTCGGATTATCATGCTAATAGAGCTCTCCCTGAATTACCAAGGACACGGAAGGTGAAGAGAATACAACGAAGACTGAAACTGAAACCTGAATTACCAGCCGACCTCGCTGCGTCAGATTCGGTGTTCTTTAGAAAACCTGGTAACGAATCAGTTGTGGGATCGGGTACATATGGCAAAGTCTTCAAGGGCCTCCACGTATATACTAAGAGACTTGTTGCTCTGAAAAAGATACGCATGGAAGGAGAAAGAGATGGGTTCCCGGTTACCGCGGTGCGGGAAATCAAGCTTCTCCAATCCCTGAAGCATCGAAATATCGTCACCTTACAGGAAGTTATGGTTGAGAAGAACGATTGTTTCATGGTTTTTGAGTATATGTCTCATGATCTTACGGGCTTGTTAAACCATCCATCGTATAAACTTGATGCGGCACAAAAGAAGCACCTTGCTCTACAGATCTTTGAAGGCCTAGACTATCTGCACAAACGAGGAGTATTACACCGCGACATAAAGGCAGCTAATATCCTTGTTAGCAGTGACGGTGTCTTAAAACTAGCAGACTTTGGCCTGGCGCGCTTCTACGCAAAACGTCACCAACTCGACTACACAAACCGAGTTATCACTATTTGGTACAGATCTCCCGAGCTATTACTTGGCGAGACGCAGTATGGTGCTGCTGTGGATATCTGGAGTGCAGCCTGTGTTATGGTGGAAATTTTCACACGTCATGCCATCTTCCCTGGAGATGGTGGTGAGATCAACCAGCTGGAGAAGATATATGCCGTGCTCGGTACGCCGAATAAGAACGATTGGCCTGCGCTTATCGACATGCCCTGGTTTGAGTTACTGAGACCTGGGTTTCGACGGCCTAATCTTTTCGCTGAAAAATACAAGGAACGAGTGCCAGCAGCTGCCTTCGAACTTCTCGCTGCCATGTTTCAGTATGATCCAGTAAAACGTCCGTCTGCGGCAGAAGTTTTGGAGCATCCCTATTTCAAGACGGAGCAGCCGCCTGCAAGGCAAGCTATTGAGTACGTATTCACTCGCCTCGCTCATTTATCGTAAGTATGCTAACTTTTCATAGACTACGTAATCTGGAGGGTGAATGGCACGAGTTTGAGTCGAAGGCACTGCGTCGGGAGAAGGAGAAGCAGGAGCGAGACGCACGGCGTGCTGCTAAAGAAGGTAGCAGCCGTGATAAGGATAAGAAACGGCCGTCGTCAACCCACGAGTCCCAACGAGACAGCAAACGTCCGCATATTGACGGGCAACCACCTACACTAGGTCGAGCTTCAAGCTCCAATATCGTACAGTCTGGCGAACCCGTAGCGAGCGAAACGGTACTAGAGTAGGACAGGCCATCATATTCTATAGAAGAAAAGTCGAACAATTACAGCATAGATGATGAAGAAACCATTGCAGAGGTGTGTAGACTAGAGTTCCACGACGGGGGATAATGGGTTATATATTTCGAAAGATATAAGTCCAGAATACCTATCGAAGAGGTGGGCGTGTACAAATATTAGGCAGAGGGAGCCTCTGGTATGGAATTGACTTTGGGGCATCATTCATGGTATGGAGGCTCCCATCACGTGTGGGGGCAGCCTCATTCACTAGCTAGAGGCTTGGTGTTGTTGCTCACGCGTTTATAGCATTGGTAGCGTGGATCCTAAGGATACACTCAGATAGCTTCATGGAGTGCTGTATAAAGGAGTGGTATGTTACGCTCTAGACAGACAAAATATAATGATATCAATCCCATATTATATCACTTTGCTTTGTCTGACAGCGGAGAACTCTCTTGGCTAGTATAATAGTTTATAATAGGAGATTGATAAGCTTGGGGAGGCTCTGTTAGTACCGAATCAACATTCAAGTGTCTTATGCTGCTGTTTAGGCCCCCGTACGATATCAAACTAGTAGTGTTCGCCAGGTAAGCAGGCACAGAAATCAGCACCTACATAATCGGGCAATACCCGGCACTCTGCCGGTCTCGGGTCCGTGTGGAGACAAGTTTTTGCCGTTTCTAGAAGCTAAGCTTTTGTTACCACATCCCGGCAGGCCGGATAGAGTGATACCGTAGGTGCCTACGCTAATACCAGAACTATGGTCCGGGGTTTATTCTGCATCCAGACTGCGGGGACGACGACGATGTGTCATTCGGCACATGTACAAGGGATATATGACAGGATATTCTAGATTCAGGTTGAAGTTGAGTATAAGGATTCCTAATTAGATCCAAGTCTTAGCAAGTCTATAAACTACCCAAAGGAGGCTTAGTTAGTAGACTATGGGATCACAACGTCATCTTCATTGTTTGACATCGTCGTGATCTGTGCTAACAATGATATCCTCCCACTCCTTAATCAATACCTCGGTGCTGTGAATCTTATCCTTAATTGATTCGAATGCATCGCGGCCGAGCACGAGTCTCAGAGGGATCTTTTTACCCTCTGCGACTCCCGTCTGCGTCAACACATCAACAATTACTTTGGCGCCTTTAAGAACATCACCAGGCTGGTGGTTGTCGCAAATATTGAACTGGTTCCGAGTCTCATTCACAGGCGTGTTCCTGTACTCCTCCGTCAGGGGCCTCGCAGCCCGGATGCGGTTGCTACCGGCATCGTTGAGTATTGCCGTCCGGAAGAATCCAGGCTCGATAACGACGGCTGAAATCCCGAACGAGCTGACCTCCTGATGAACCGTCTCCGTAAACCCGGTCACGGCGAACTTGGTCGAGGAGTAGTAGCTTATTCCGGGAATGCCTTGCCAGCTGGTCACACTGCCGAAGTTGGCGATCACTCCCTGCCGGCGAGGGCGCATATGGTGGAGCGCGTGGCGTGTTATGTTTATGAGACCAAGGACATTGGTGTTGAACTGGTTGAATACTTCCTGAGCCCTATATACAAATATCAGCGGGTCGGTAGTTTACTTCTCACAAATCGCCATATAGAGACGGACCTCAACTTACGAAGCTTCTTCAGCAGAACCTTCCCAGGCATACCCTGCCGCATTGATACAGTACGTGACTTTGCCGTAGGTATCGATAGCCTTCTGGAATACGGCTTGGATGGACGCATCATCGGAAGTCACATCCAGAGCCAGGACTAAGGCACCGGCTTCCTTGAGGTCCGCCATCTTGCCCAGATTACGCGATGTGGCAACTACTTTGTCACCTCGCTTCAGAGCTTCGAAGCCGATAGCACGGCCAAAGCCGCTGCTTGCTCCTGTGATGAACCATACGTTGCTAGCCATGATGCTGTGTTGGTAAGAACTTGGCGTAGTCTCAGTTACGATTGCATAGAATAAGTCCACGAATGAGATATATATGCGAAGATTTATAAAAATTATACAGTCAAGAGATAGTTATATAATATTCGTAATGGCGCGATAAAGGCTGTCATGTTTTTGAACCTGATGTGTGTGAAGCCTGAATCATGATTTGAAGGCTTTTCGATTGGGATTCTCTAATAGGCCGCCACGTTCTATAATATGTTGCCGGGGCGGCATACACTAGGTAAAGTGACGCAACTAGAAGCCACTCGGATACAGGCAACTTTCCTCGGCGGTTGGCTTATCTAAATTTGAGACTAGTTGTCACTACAATACTAATGTAGAAATATTAGGTACATTTGCTAGCTATTCTGCAAAAGTATAGGAGTGTTGTACTGAGATTGATGGAAATCTTCTCCTTTGCTTCTTACCCTATATATAGTCATCTGATGGCTTGCTCTGGCCGGTTATGGAGAAGAGTTGAGCATGAATCCCGGTTTCAGAACATTCCGGCCTCTATCTCCTCATGGTCTAAGCACACTTCCACCCCATAACGTTATACTCGTCATAGACTTGCCTGCTACACACCATCACCCCATCTATACTATAGTTATTGTGGCGTCTACGCCAGTGTCGTACCAATCCTTGGGCACATTGGAAATGGCCCCTACCCTCTCCATATACCCAGGAAACCTTGGTGACATGCCCAATATCAAACCCATATGATCGCTCTTCATCCAGTGACACTTTGCAATACAGAAAAAAGCCGCCCCCGTCTCCAACGCATTTCCAGATGTTGTGACTCGCGACCGGCGCGCAGAGGGGTCAGTCTGACCAGGTACGGTCCATGACTCTAAGGCACCATCAGTTCGGAAGTGCTGCTTTCGGCTGTAAGTGCCCTCGCCCTTTCGGTAGTAAACCCAGTGCTCATTCTTATGGTAATCGGCCGAAAGTCGACAATACTTGATTCGGCCTCGGAGAGTGACGGTGCCCCCCGATACTTGCCCGTAAGGGTTGGCCCCTACTACATTTGTCCGGGCATCGGTCACAGAGGCGAGAAGCTGCGGATCCTGCATTGGGCTCCAAGTTACGCCCCAGTTCATCGACGCCCATGACCACGTTGGCGCATTCTCTTCGTGTTCCTTCGTCATTAGTGGTAGATGTGCGCGGCCTGGCATTATTTGCCACTTTGACAAAAGGTTAGCAATTGCCTTTTTCAATAAGCAAGTAGCGTATCACCGGTGTGATATTTCCCTATTTTGTTGGGGTGTTTTTGGAAATACATACAAGAAGATCTAAAAGTAGAGACTCGCTCCATAGGCCGGCAAGATATTTACTGGTCTTTACCTGCGGCATAATAGTAGCAGCGCCGGCTATGGCCGGGAGCTTGTCACTGGTGAACGTTAATTGGCGCGAAGTGTATGATTTGACAATCATATGCCACTGTTCCAAGGGAGTTACTTCGCCCAGTGAGCCAGGGACTGTGGACGGATAAGGAGGTAGCTGATCTTCGCTCTTCCTGTGCGTCCGACATTCGTATATGATAGCACCTGGAGCGAAGTTGAGGATCCGTGGAGCGAGGAATGATTCTTGAAAGCACCATCCACGCGCATAAAGGGGGCCAACTTTCTTCAACGTGGCCCACGAACCCGTGAAAGGCGGCTCGAGTAGTCCTTGGTCAAGCGGCGCTGCCAGGAGATGTCGCTGTCGGACCATGATAGGTATATTAGCACCGGGTGCGATAGGAAAATCAAATTGCTTCGGATGCCATTCTTCTTCTCGAGGTCGTAAGTACGGCGTGCTAGGGTTTGGCGAAGAGGCGCCACTAATAACAATAAACGCGCGGCTATATACCTCACCCATGAGAGCTGCCTCCTTCTCCCAGTCTGTCTTGTCGTCTTGAACGATACAAAGGGAATCTATCCAAACATATGCTAATCCAAGCTCCTGGGTAACAGTAATTGCATCTTGAAATGTAGGCGGTAACTCTGAGAAATCAATATGCTCTTTCAGGTTACTCAGAACCGATTTTGTCAATGATAGCGGCTTACCACCACCCCAACAATGACTTAACGCTGCCCACGTAATATCCCCCCCTGAAGGATTATTATCGCAGAGTCTGAGCGCGTTCTTCCCTCCACCAACGTATATTAACCTTGTCGGAATGAAGCCATTTGGATGTGTGGCACACCCGGGATGTGCTCTACAACATTCATTAATGCTTTCCTTCATAAACCTTATGCATTCTTCAGACCGGACATCTGCTGCACGAGGGCCTACAGGTCCCATTGTGGGGGCTCCTGGAATAGGGGATGGAGGCATAGGGTCCATGTACAACTCCAGATCTACCCTCGGATTCTGAAACCATTTATCGTACGTGAAGTTCCAGCAGTTAATTATCAAAGGTGCCCCTTCTCTAATCATGAGACCGACCTGTATCGGCATGGCATTTTTGGTCTCCGTAATCCAGCTCATCCATTTGTCGATGAAATACGCGTCAAATATTTCGCAAAGGAGCCGGCAGTACTTGCAATCGTTCTTAGGACGACCAGTCTGAGGATCGACTTCACGACTCTCTAAGATCTTCTTCGTTGATATCTTTTCTAGGACAAGAGTAGGAACAGAGCCAAGCTCCTTTTTGCGAGTAGCCCGCTGAGGGTTTCGAAGCTGATTCCATGCGGTGCTGGGTCGACCAAATGTATCTTCGTGCCCATAAGGCTGTAGGTTGTTGCAGACGAGACAAATACCCGCCTTGCGTCCTTCTCTACGTCGCGAGATGGCGTTCCCAACCCAAAACGCGGTGTCGGCTGCTAATCGCACGCCATTAGTAACATCATTAGCGAAACTGAATAGACTCTGCATTTTGGAGTTGTAGATAGTAACACTCAAGTAGTAATCTAGTCCGACGTAGTCATAACTGTCATATCATCATGCGTTGGAAACGGAACGACATTGACAGGCCAATGCAAAAAGTATGCAACTGGATTTTAAAGCGCAGTAGTTTGAATATTAACTCTTGAATCAGTAGAAAGCCACAATGTCGCAAGTGGTCTCACAAATTTAGACTTGTAACGACTATATCATGTTGCCAAGCCTCAGCCGCATTACACCACCTAGGGATAGTGTAGGCGCCGACCTGGCACATACGCGCAATTGGCGTAGCATCGCCCCGTGGCGACATGTTCGTTTTCAGCTCCAAATCATATACTAAGGTACCGTGTATACTACAGTCATGGCCGTACTTTGGCGTGATTATGACATGTAGGTAGTTCGAACCATCTGGTATGATAAATTGACTTGACAAAGGTTAGGTACGGAATTCTGGCAGTATTAAGACGTTTGACAACCCGACTGGTAAAGGTAGAAATGTCTGGCTACCGGCATACAAGGCAATCTAGATATTTGTTAATAAGTCATAAGTTTAGTTAATGGCTATCTTGCTAAGGGATGCCATGCGAGATGGCACTGTTCTTATCGAGAGAAACATAGCCCCTATACTGAGGGCTAGGTGGCTTGCCTACAACCAAGCCACGGACAATATAGCATAGCATAGCCCTTTATGAGTATGCCGAATCTCACCTTTAAATGAAACTCATTATCCAATCAGAAGACCGTAGGCAATTATTTTGGGGGATATAACCCTTTCTCTAGCTTATTAAGTAAATTACCCGGTAATTCTTCGTCTACGGCAGTTACTCTTGCGAGCTGTTTCTGTACCAAGAGTATTAGGTTCATACGCTGCTGCCGTGACTTGGCCGAGATCATTATGGAGGTATGGATGCCCAATCGTCTTTGGGGTATACTTCCTAGTGGCCCCGGGTTTGACATAGAGACGTATCAATATGTAGTCTGCGTACGATTATATCTTACCTGGTGAGGTTTAGGACCGTCGAAAACTTCCTCCTGTTTCTTACATCATCTAGCTTTCTCTCTCTTATGTTCTTTAGGGTTAAGATTGGATGCTAACGTAAAAACAAGAGCTTAGATATGAAGTTATGTGGGATATAAGTGCTATGATTCCTATTTAGATGCTTTCGGGGGCTACAAGTTTCAGACGGGGTCGATATTTAGAGCCACGGTGCCCTTGCTCGTTTGCTAATCCGGATGATTCATAGACGCAACTCTTGAACTCTTCCGAGAGAATGTGACGAAGAGTAATTGGAATGATGGCTGATAGCCTCCAGTTCCGGTTACGGCCAACACGGTGACTATCCCTTCGGTTGGAAGGATGAAGCCCTCCAGAGAGCATCGGATTCTCGTTGTAGCAATAATTCTTGAGATTGGTATTTTGGTATTTTGGTATCGAGTTAAGTCTGTCAAGCTCGCCCGTTTTGGGTGACATCATAGCGTTGGTGGATGGAATCCGAAAAGTTGAATCTTTTGAATTGCTGGAATGATAAGCAGGGGCAGCCTCTTATCGTAGACCCCACTTTATCATTATCTGTGGCTAGTAACTGAGGCGCCAGGGTGCGTAGACTCCCGCTAAGGTAGAGGGCTCTTGGCAGCTACAGCTAGAGTTGAATTTGGAAGCTTCAACTTTAGGTAACGTTTTCAGCTGTGCGAGCCTGGCTCAACCTTACCTGTTTAATACATAACCATCTACAACCCACATCGCTCACCCTCCAGCCCTCTTGCTTTAGGGTAGGTTGGTACTACAGCCTTGGAAAGAACAAACCAGGAACTATACTGGGTTATCCTTATATCACAACTGTGCCCTTCGTACAAATGCGCCGCACTCGAATTTCCCATCCCACATCATAGTGCAAACATTCAACGCGACCGCGATTCCACGAAACTATGCCGGCATCATGGACACTACGAACGCGTCAAATCCGCTTCAGCAGCTCGGCGCGGTGAACAGGATTGCTATCGCAGACTTAGCCCCCGAAATCCAAGACTCGGCATCTCGTGCTGTGCGTGGTGTGGTTACTATCACATGGCCCTATAATTCTGTTAAAGGCACATTTGCTTTTATACTCGCCGAACCTGACTATCGTCTTCGTAGAAGCAAGGGACAGGTTCGTATAAATCTGAACGGTGCATCTGCCAAGGCCGTTGGAGAGAGCGGGCTAAGTAGCGGCGATGAAGTTCTCGTGAGCTTAGATGGAGCTGAGTGGGAACCTGAACAAACCAAGAAGCGACAGAGTTTACCAGGCGCGGGGATTGATTGGCAGTTGAAATTCTCAGATAAACTCATACTTCAGGTGATTATATACATGCGTACATCTTATGGTTTAGCAGTTGCTCATATCTTTTCTAGGTTATCTTGACTGAGACTGGAGAGGCCAAGCTCGTCAATGTCGACCGTCCTCCCCTTGCGGAGCCCCAGCCTCGAGCTGAAACGCCACCGACCGAAATACCTCACGAAGAAGACCTTCCCCCTCAAATACTCGAAACTTTCACGCCACCTAGCAAAACGTATATTGCGAAGCTCAAAGATGGCGAATTCGAATCCCCGGCTTTCGTTAAAAGAGCTCGGATGTCATATGGATCCCTATTCGAAGATGGATACGACATATTCGAGGATGATGGTGGAGTAAGAGGGAGAGGTCGAAAAAGGTCAAGATTTGGTCGCGAAAGCGGTGCATGGAAATATACTAGCCAGTCTCCTAGTCCCGAACCTATCTCACCTCAGATCACCATGAGCTCTCCGCCAAGACCCGACATGACTGATGAAGGATGTCAAACCATGGAAATTGATCTACCAATGCCTTTACCTACGCAAGAAAACATTAACATTGAAGCACAGCTGATCTTGGAGCCGACATCAAGAGTAGAAGATGTTACTCATCCCCAACAAGGAATGGTAGATCACGGTGTTCAAGGGGATTTTCACAGCGAATGGCCAGTCGCAACACATACACCACTCCCACCACCCAGGCCTAGCAGTGAACTTCCCAGTAGTGGCCCTGGAATATCTGCATTCCAGGCCGCCGATGGATTTAACATAGTTACCGACGACCTTCAGCGATGGAATGTTCCACCTATGAACCTTCCGCCCGAAGGCTACTTACATACTACTGAGCCTCCATCAGCTAATGGGTTTCCAAATACTTTCGAGGTCGAAACATCTGTGGGACATGATGCAATGAGACCTGAAAGCCGTACACACTCGCCAAACGAACCTAATCACCTTGCTGCTGAACATGGTGAGCACCATCTTAGTGAAGACTCGGCAACTGATGAGCAAGGCTACCCAATTCACGCTACATTACATAGCACGGACTATCCGCCGCTGGGTCTTGAAGATGAAGATGAAAGTACCACGGTCCCTCAAGGGGCACATATGGACTATCCTCCTTCCTATTTAGATAGCAATCACCCCTTCTCCCAAGAGGAGACTATGGATATTGAACGAGACTCGTTCGATTCCAGCGTCCCTGCAGCTGGAATTGTAGGATCGTCGCCTTGGGCTACGGTCAATAACCCATCTCAAGCGACTTCGATGCCGCATACTGGCCGGTTGGGTAGTTCAAAGGGGGAGTCTCCCGATACTGCAGTTGTCATAGACGAGAGTGATTCGGACGACGAACCACCACCGCCGACTGCTGCAGAGGACACAGTCATGACTGGTCAAGCTGATGCTCTCGAAATGTATGAAGAAGCAGAAGTTGAAGATGAAGTGGATGCTGAGTATTCGGATGATGATGAACCTGAATATGATGCCGACGAAATGGGCGGTGACTACGATACAAGAAATTATACCGCACCAGATGATGATGAAGATGACAGTCACGATGAAGACTTGCGACCACGCGAACTAGAACCCGAGTTCGACGACGGTGAAAGTTGGGACGAAGAGGACGAGGACGCTGAAAATATTGAATATGAAAGCGAGTACGAAACTGATGACAACAATGAGGAGAATCGAAAGCCTGTGCAACCAGTTTCACAGTCTATCCCTCAGGTTATTGATCTCATTTCATCCTCGGAGGATGAAGGCGAAGATGACGAAGCCACCCAGCCGCGACAAGTGGCTCGACCAGTCGCTAGTAGTATATCACAAAGTCAACCAGCAGCATCGCCAGGAATTATATCAAAACAAGCACTTGTACAGCCTATCGAAAGTGGAAGTGAAAGTGAAGAAGATGGCGAGGATAGTCTGGATAACGAGGAGAACAGTGATGAAGAAGACGAAGAGGGTGACAAAGATATTGAAAGGGAGGATGTCGTCAGCTCAGTCGATTCAATTGACAAATCGAATTATGAGTCCTCAGGAGGTGAGAATGAAGATGTTGAGAGAATGCTCGAGGAAGAACTTGAAGAAGCAGCGCTTAGTCCTGGAGACGACGATGTGGTGGAGTCTATTGATATGGGTTCTCAGCAAATGCCCGCCGTATCCGCAACCTCGCGTCCTAACGAATTCGCCGCGTATCAAAAAACATCGCCTGAGCCTAGCCATGTAGGGTTAATTGGCATGGAAACGAAGGAGGAATATAAAGACGACAATGTTCCACAATCCGCCGCCGACGGACTTGAAATACTAAGTCGAGTAGTCGAAAGTGAACCGAACCACAATCATGTCACGTCTCCTAAGGAGATACAAGACGAAGACGCTATTGACACCATATCATCTAGAGGTGACAAATCCCCGACGGAACATATAGATGTGCTAGAGGAGCAAGTAGAAGGACATGGATCCCTAAATTCTCAGGAGGATGAGGATATGGTTGATATGATACCTATTTTACCAACTATTGCTTCAACTCCACAGCCTGTAGTAGTAGACGAAGAGAGGCGAGTTGAAGCCACAGCCCCCTCGTCCCCTCCATTAACACATTCGTTCATATCGCTATCTGCGGACGACAGAAAGATGGATGTTGTGTTTAGAGAGAATATTGCTGTTACGGGATCCCGGCTTCCGGCCGATCAGCTGCCGACACCTCGAGATACACAATTAACGGGTGATATCGCGGTATTAGACTCTGCTGGAGTTGCATCTATCGATGTTGATGAGCCAGATGTGATGGACGATACGATAGGGCTTTCACCCGTGGCTGAGCAATTGGCCAGTAGAAAATCACCTTCGGTAGCTGCTGAAGATATAATTACAAATGTCGAAGAGCAACCCACTGAGCTTAGCACAGTTCAACCAGAAAAGACTCACCCTGAAGAATTATCCCAGGATACCACACAACGGAACAACTTGCTTGCTTCGCTGAGTTTATCCTTCCAGACTCAGGTTGCTGCTGAGGAGATGGCCCCAGCAAGTTTTGTTGAGTCTATTCCTGAGATTATGATCGAACTTGAGACCGGAACTGATACCCGACCTGACACTGAGGCTAGTATTTCTCGTGCTAGCCTGTCATTTATATCCCAAATGGAGGTTGATGAAGAATTACAAGCCAGTATCATGGAAAATTCCGAGTTCGATGGTGATACGGATACTGAGGTGGTAGAGGAACGTGGAATTCGGTACCAGGTCGAAGAATATGAATATGAGGGTAGTCCCACTCAAAGTGAGGACGATGTTCGCACGGAGCTTGAAAGTCAAAGTCCCGTTTCGAGAGATCCGTCTCTAGATCTTGGAACACAGATACAAGAGCAACAGGACGCTAAGCGGGCCAATTCAGCCGACGTAGAAGCTGACTCTCTTGAGCAAACGTCACAAACGGATCCGAGCGTGCAGCTTGCACGTGGTGCGTATGCTTCTAAACGAAGGGTAAAGAACCATGATGCAACCAAAATTATTCACGCAGATGAGATAAATATGTCTGCTGTCGAACCCTCGTCGCCTAGTGTAGAGGATTCAAGCGTGCAACTGGCTCGAGCTTCTTTAACTAGATCCTCACAGGGTGAGGAAGAAAGCTATTCGATGACGGCGGCGAAGCTAAAACTTGTGCGTCATCTTCGGGATGAATTGCCTGACTGCACGCCTCTGAAGGTTTTGCGACAGCATCTTCAAAAGAAGCTAGACGTAATTGCCGTTGCCATGATGCACCCGCCGGACCCACAAAGAGCTAAGGGCGGCCCGCGCGAATTCATGATGTCGTTTACTATTACCGATCACTCGATCGGTCCCTATTCGGTTGTGGAAGTACAACTATATCGGCCGCACAAAGAAACGCTGCCAATCGTCAAGGCCGGCGATGTTGTGCTCCTTCGTAACTTCACGGTCATCTCGTTTCAAGGCAAGGGCTTCGGCTTACGCACAAATGACGAGTCGAGCTGGGCCATTTTTGACCTAGATGATGAACCGCCTCAGATCAAGGGACCTCCCGTCGAATATGGCGAAAGAGAGATCACTTATGTAGCACACATGCGGGCGTGGTATAACTTACTGGATGAGAAGGCGAGGTTGAAACTTGAAAGGGCCAATAAGAAAATAATCGATGCGGGCAAATCCAAGTAGGGATAAAACTAGCTCAAGTCTCTACACTGGAGAGTATTATAATATTTTGCTACGACGATTCTCGAAATTTTACCTAATGCATATTGATTCATCGTTGCCTTGCATTGCAGGTAGGAGTTAAGGAGGGAAAGACATTTACTCCCTATCCTATGATATGGGAATGGTAGATGGTAGATAGCATACTAAGGCACCGGGCTTAATAATATATACCTAATTATGGTCTTGTTATTATTATTTGCACTGACGGGTATGTTTTCAAATGAGCGAGGCGTGAATTTGACTATTAGTTACAGTGTCCAACCCCTTAGGTACCTAGATCTACTAGGCAGTGCAATATTTTCAAGGTAGTCAACCGATTCTGGTATTAGCAGCACGGATAGCCTTAGCTATAAGTATCGTAAGCTTATAGTTTCGGTGAGGTTTCAACTCTTATTGTTGTCCGAGCGCGCTTTTCTAGGCCTGAACAACTTTGTCCTCTCCTAACTACTAATGTTCTGCGCTTGGTCATTACGTAGATGCTAGCACCCCAAGCTGATGCTCTCAAATCCATATTTAGTGCTTCCTATTGGGATTATCATCCGATAGAGTTTCTTCCGCCATTGAGCGCAAAATATTATCGGATAGTTAACCTTCAGTAATCACTACTAATATGAAACTGATATCAGGGCAGAATGCCCATAAACTAACTCTACATAATTATCTGATTTACTGGCCGTGCTTCTCTTCGTTTATAAATGAGGATTGGTGTCGCTGTTTTTTCTAAGGTACCTCTCAATCTAATTTCTCGACATCTGACAAAAAGCGAATCACAACGTACCTATCCTCTCGTCGCATACCATTTCCCGACCTCGCAGAACTTCCTCAAGCACTCCAAGGAAGCGGAAACTAATTCAAAAAGCACATATCCAATATAGTCCACTTAAGGTAACCCATCACCTAATACACGATCGAGAAAAGGGCTGACACCTCTCAAACGCAGGCATAACGACAATGTTAGATTTTGACTTCGAGTGCTGCTCACGGGAACATACGCCAGATACGGACGTAGCCCCGGCGCAGGAAATCCCAGAAGACGCCACCAAGAAGCGCATTGGGCAGCCTCCATCTCGGATTGAGATTATGTTAAAGGTACTAGAGCTTTTAGGGTCATTTGGGTTTCTTTTTTGGCTTTTTTCATACTATTATTGCTGGGTGTAGAAAAGGCCAAGAGCTGAAAGGCTGCTATCTACCTAACCTAGGCTGGTGCGAGCGAGGGAATTACGCGGGTGGCCATATGCTGGCGGTAACATATTATGTGGCTACGAACGGGCTACGGTTGGCTCTGATCCGCTGTGCATATTTGTAAGGTTGACTCGCGGGTAGGGTGGATGTTATAGCAAGCCGATAATATCCATCAAATCCTTTGGTATTACATCTTCACGGGATTCGTTACTCAAAAATCTCAAAAATCAGATAATATATTCAAACGGTATACATAGCAGCAGTGCCTAAGTATACGCCATGGACGTTAACTCATTTATCATCATCATCATAGAAAGCAGTCTCTATCCAGTAACTACTAGGTTAGATAAGTGTAGCAAAACGTAAATATGTGTGAACTTGAAGATAACTATAATGGTACGGAGGTAGTTTCTCGAGCTCGGTCGCCGAAGATCCCTTTCGGGAACTCGTTACTGAACTTTACCAAATGCATATCGCTTCGGAAACTGAGATGTCCATGTTGATAGTTTACCGTGGTCGACTGTTGAGTTTGATTTAGGTGTAATTCCTATAAACTCTATTGCTATTTCTTCTCAAAGTATTAATTGCTGGCTTTTGCCTCCTCCTGGGTACGGACGAGGCAAAAGCTAGCGCTAATACTAAGCCTCCTAGTGACGTATATACTTATTGATTTCCTAGAGTAGACAAGGGGGTCAACACCAAGCAGCAAAATATTCGATTAGTTTGACGGGCGTCGGGTACTCCCGTCTTGCAATAGGCTCCTATGCTGGTCATTTGATCAACCTCTATCTTGCTGATTGGAGCTAGGAGCTTCGGTAATCTTGTGACAAGCTGTTATGTAAGCCGCAAACCGGGACGGGCATTATGCAAGTGAATGTGCGGGACCGAATAAATTCCAGTCATATCATGATCCTAATATAGATGTGACATAATAAAGTGCATAACCTACCCTCCTTGTAAGCTTCTAGTTTATGCAATGAGTTGTACGTATATTAGATCTCAAGTACATATGGATTTAACTGTTGATTGACGTCACGCATATCTAAGTCAAATTCTGCCGGTAGAGAACGGGATTCTAAATAAACATGGACGACGATAGTCATAAATCATACTAAAAGGGAAATATGTCATTAACGACTAGAAATACGGCGATAATAACAGATAATTGATAGATCAGAATGGGATGGATTTATCAGCTCTTTGACTTTCCGGACCGGACCATTTCCTCCGCTAATTACAATAAGAGATACCTAATCTACATAACCCGCAACAAAATAAGTTAGAAGTGTGTCGTACATGAGGCTTATGTACAGCTTTCTGGCCCGAATGATGTAGCTTAACTCCAATCATGAAGCAATATGAGAAAGGGAGGGTTAAAGGACCAGGGTGGGGGTAGTTAATCGAGATCAGCCGTAGTACCGAAATCGTAATTACCTATGACTTTCCCATCTAACCCGGTTTGCTATCATGTAAGAGATAATATAAGAGATGTATGTAAAAGACCACAATTCGGGGCGGCGTTCTAGACTTTGGTCACTCCACAAAATAACGCTCCGAAAAGTCATGTTGTCATTGCGGAGACCTTTTGTTTAAGGTGACCAATAGAATGCTTCATATAGTATTTCCCCTGCAGTGATCTAAGTTTCTAGAGTAGAAGCTCGTTAACATAGTGAGATCTGATTGGTCAACTGTTCCCGAAAAGGAATAAGACATCATGTATGTCAACTATTTGCCTCTCCCATCGTCACCATCCACGATTCATCCACAGCAAGTACAGATCAAGTCGAAAGAGGGAGTATTCTAACTGCTGACCATGATGGAATACTTAAAAGTACAAACCATTGAGTCAGAATGGGAAATTTACATGTGCGATCCCGTGCAACTTGCAGTTCGTCTATTCGGCGTAAGTGGTGACGTCAGGTCATCAGGGGAATTCCTCAACCCAATAGGCAAATAGCCCAAGGCGGCTTTCTGACCGGCGGTACTTAGAATGGAGAATATAGTATGGAGAACAAGGGGCGGCAAGAAAATATACCTAGCTGGAATGCGGATTAAGAGAGGCAGCCTACCTATCCGGACGTAGGACAATGATCGAACTGGTAGATAATGACGTACTTTACTCGTTCATATGATACACACTTCAGCTTACCAAGGTCGGTCCTTGTGGATAGACCGCAGGTAAGGTAAAGGTAAATTAGATCAGCCCATAGCTCGTTGAGCCGTCGAATGATCTGCTCCAACTTTCTATATAAGGTGCTGCCAGTTCCCTCTCAATCTCAACTTTTTCCCATCATCATTCATCACCTTCAAACTTCAACACCAACAACAGTCAACAACCAAACCACTACAAACTACAAACTACCAAACCTTCAAAATGGATAAGATTCAGAACGCCGCCAACTACGTCTCTGACACCGTCAAGGGAGCTACCAGCACTGCTTCCAAGGAGACCAACAAGCAGGTCGCCAAGGATGGCAACGCAGACTTCACCACCCGGTACATAGCCTCAGCCTCATCCACATCAAGGATCAAATCAGAAGACCCCATACTAACATGTTTTTAGTGCATCCGCCGCCAAGGACGCAGTCGGTGACAAGTTTGACGAGACGAAGCACAACACTTCTGCCGACGTCAACAAGGAGTCATTCAAGCACTAAGGTGCTACCCCCTCCACCAACTCCGCCTCTATATGATCTATACGATGAGATGAGATGAACGGGGGGTTATGATCACAGGGCGTCTTTGGAACAGATATGGCTGTTTCATTTGTCGACTGGGCATGGAGAGATGGATTTGATATTCCCTTGAAAGATTCAAAAATCCTCGGCTGGCTTTATAATACCCCTTATGATAGCTTAGAATCGAAGCCGCTATTCATCGCCAACTACTCTTCTACATTGATCGCGTGAAATGAACATGGTAAATACATCCGTGAAAATTTTGGTAATTCGTAGATGACATGGTTCTCAAATAAGCCAACTATATCCGTAAGATATGAATATTACACGACAAATTTATTACTATTATGAACATTTTGAACTTAAAATATGAAAATCATTTGCAGACACAAGTTAAGTAAATATAATATACTCTCAAAGGAAAAAAGGCTTCCACAACCTTCCGAAACCTTCAGCATCGTACACGAAAGGGTTCTCTTTCTTCTTGTTTTATTCTTCTTTTAAGTGGAAGAAAGAATACTATTAGGCCATCGTGGATATAAAAGTAGACTGTTCTCTAATAGAACTCACTTGGAGGAAGACTCAACCCATTGATATCAGAACCACCCATTTCCGACACATAGACTTGCTCAAGCACGTTCACTCTTTGGTGTAGAACCGCGCTGATACCATCAGTAGTGAAACAAACCATGGAAATCCGCATCGACTCTTGGGCGCGAAGAATGTCAACCAGTGCTTCGAGGTGAGGAATCGTATCTTGATTTTCCGCCAGATGGAACCCGTCCAAGACCCAGACCAAAGACGGCGGCGCGTGTTTCAGCAAAGCCTGGATTATCTGCAAAGCAAGCGGTGCGCTTCCGAAGCTCCCATCTAGCTTCCGGAACTTCGCTTCGTCGAGCTCGTCTACGTCATCGAACTCGACTGGTAGGAGATAAATTAGTTGCGTGATGATGGAGTACAGGAGGGCTATGACGGCGGCTTGGTGTTGCGGGACCGACGGCGCGAAGTTGTCTCCTGGTTTAACGAAGAACGATATGCAGGGGATATCTTCGCCTTGCAACATCGAGGCGATGCGCAGCGCTGCTAGCGAGAGGTCGGAGCCGTACGATTTGGTTGGCAGGCCTTGGATCCAGATCATCCGCGAACCCACTTCGCCGAGCCAGTTCTGCAATTCTGCAATAACCTCATCGGGCAGGAGGGCCTTGGAATTGTCTTTACCGGATAACTCGTTACTCCCGTAGTCGAAGTATGGGGTTAAATCCTTAGCATATGCCATGAGTTCGTACCGATTGCAAAGTATCAGTCCTTCTAAGATTATTATCAGTACCTATGTTTACTGCTAAGAGGATGTGTTTGTTAAAGTAGGAACACTCACCGGACTCATAGTCGAACTCATATTCCAAGGTCGAATCGTTGTCAGTTTCTGTCTCCCAGCTACTTCCCTCGGAATAATATTCCTCTTTAGATGGTCCCCTATCATTGTCAGGACGATCGTTGTCGGCCATTTTGAGGTCTGAGCGTAACGTGTGCGGCCTCTTGCCGAATTTTCTATATTGTTACCCGAACTTGGTCTTCTAATGGGTTGAAATTCCCATAGAAAATTTTGTTCAAGACGCAGATAATTCTCTAGTATTCCTTCGGAAGCAGAAAATAGCGTGGCAGAAGAATTTAAATACTCGAACGTGAGTTCTTTCCCTAAACTATACATCTCAGGTCCTTATTCATTATTAGTCTTCATCTAAGCTGTTCTGAGGTCACGGTCCATGTCAGAAAGAGCCAGCGAGAAGGCATCTACAACTCGGCCGTGATTCACCGGTATTTTAACGATGGAGGAAATGACACTGCGGGAAGACGTAAGTACTTTCCAAAGGTAGGGATTGACTCATACATATGCGTGTGGCCGTCCAAAGCCTTGAGAAACATAATGAATCGACTTTTCGTCCTATTTTTGCTGTCTTAGCTGCTTTTTGTGTCTTGAACTGCGCTGTGCAGAGTCGCACCTACCTAATCGGCATTGATTGACACGAGTCTTGTGAAACTAAATGTAGGTAGTCACTCGCTCAGGGGAGTCAGCATACTCAAGTTACCTTTTATAATCTGAAAGTTGCTTTGCGGGGTTTGTCTCATCTTCATCCCGACTCGTCAAAGTAGCGTCTCTGGGAAATTCTGGAAAGTGTGTTGTTCGGGGTTTTCTACTTAATATGGAGGCAATGTTTAGGTACGGAGTAAGATATTATCATATGTCCGACTGTGCACTGGCTTTATCCAGTCTCTTGGAAGCTCTTGCTGTGTAGCATACGGTACCTCTGTCACATTACATCTATAGTATGAGATTTACGTTAGTTATACCTAGATAAAACTATACTAAGGGATACGTATAGTTCATAACGATAGGCTGCAGGAAGTGAAAGAATATGCTTCACAGATTCGCCTAAGATGGTGAAAAGGAGTAAACGTCTCTCGCTCACCCCCTATTTTAGGAATTACATTAGCACCTACTTAGAGTCTTAGACGCCCGGTTAAATCTCGGACTATTCAACTTCAATGCCTTTCTTTTCCATTTCTCGTCACCCGATATTCGCTTCTTCCTACTAATTAATAATAGCCCCTTATAGGACGGTAAACTAAATGCCTGCCTCAATTCCTTCTTACTATCCCGCGGGTTGGGACCGTGAGCGGATTCTCAACGCCACTGTTAATGAGATCAACGACCTGACTAAAGAGCAGAGGGAAGTATTTCGTGAAGGCCTGCGTGCCGACCTGGGGCAGCAGGGGTTTGATGAGTTCTTTGACGAGATGTTTAGGCGGGAACAAGAGGAATCAGGTACAGCGAGAAATACTACGTGCATGGAACATCATGTCGCTTATATGCTAATGATAGGGTTATTAGGGAATTCCATCAAGACTATTAAGGAGCCTCCCTTCATGGAAGTTTTGCGCATATGTGAGGACCGCGGTATCCGCTGGGATCAGTGGGGGTTCGTCGTCTTCAAAAGCCCAGAGATCGTTGATGCGGAACAATGGATGGCTTGCAAGAAACGGTTTTCAGAAATTATAAACGATTCTATTGATCCTTATCGCGGATACGCCGGACTTGATGATTGTGTCCGAAAAATGAAGTTTCAATGGGTAGAAGATGTTAAAGATGCGGGCGGGGGCATTGGGTCTATATCACGGTGGGTAACCCCCTTATTGTCCTTGTCTCAACTGGGCTGATCTTTTTCAGAGCATACTCGTCAACTTCTCTACTGCCAGGTTTGAACCATAGTTTATGCCTGTATATTACACCATCGTCAATGGACTCCATCTTAAACTCGCCCTCCCCTTCGTCCTGTAAGAGAAAATATAGAACAAGAATTCCTTTCGTTGTTGCCGTGTCTAAAGATGTCAGTAGACAAGACTACAGTACAACTTACGGGGATATTGAGAGAGCCTCGTGGCGGGGCTTTTTCAATGTAGCTGTCGAAACGCTACTCGAATCCCTCTTTCCTATTGTCGCAGATGACTCAATGTCCCCATTTGAGATTGGTGGGTGTGTTGCCGGCGATGACGTCTGGTGCGATTATACGAGATGGGGGGTTCACAAGGCCGGCATAGGATACTGGGATTCGAGGACGGGCCAGGCAGGCAGTGGACTGTAAACAGAATATAGATGATAGAACATCGTATGCTTGTATACATTTCAATTAATACCATGGCGTCGACTGACCTCTTAATATTAGTGGGACGCAGCAACCTTCTAGTTATTGAAGTTTGAGGGTCGGCGAGAAAGCTAGCGGGGTAGTCTTTTATTAGACAAGATGAACTTCCTCCTCCGGTCCAGAACTCAGCCATGGTAGAAACTTATGAGCACGTATTAGCTATTATATGCTTGAAGAGCCGGAAACTGAAAGACAGAAGAAAGCGTTTCGTATATGAGCCTACTCGTATTTTCACGTACGAATGCATAGGGGTATAAGAGGAAGAATAAGAATAAAGGAGACGAACCTGTTCCTTCACTGGCCCCACAACACCGAGACGCCGGAACTTCCCATCCGATACATCCTTACGAAGCAGTATACCGATGCGTTCGCTCTTAATAATGGGCAAAACCCAGCAGTCCTGGACCCCTGCACGATCCTCAGCTATATCGAAATAGGCAATAGCGAAACCTTCGGTATAAGGCAACTTGAACTTGTCCAGCGTGGCGTATTCCGTATCTGCGGGTTGTAGGAGTGCCAAGAACCCCTGTTCGGCGAGAGCAAGGCGGCGCTGCGGCCAACCTTGCTTTGGGAAAGCAGAAAGTTCAGACTGCGAGGGGACTGTGCAGTGGACGCGCTTAGGACGGCCAAAGAAGGCGAGTTCGCAGGTAGGCATGTAGAGTACGTTGGCGTCACAGTTGGGATTTTCAAGGAGGGTCCATCTTGGAGTAGAATCCTGCGGTGATGAATGCGATGTTATTGATGAAGACAAAGGTCGTATAAGGATATTATTGAGATCCTGGAAGGACTCGTTTCGTCGCAGAAATTCTGGGCGAATGTATATTTGGCCTTGAACGGATGCCCACTGGCAGGGTTAGGGTAAGCTTGTGGTTTGACAGGAATGTAGCTATATGACAGTGACATATGATATGAAAAGGGTAGCATTCGAAATGTATATTAGGGGTTGAGAGAATTTTATTTACTTTTACTCCTCACTCCCCCTTATCCCCCATTAAATAGAAATAGGAGATGGCAGAGATAGTACGCCTGCCCATGTACTTGAGATGGGTGACTTACCGACCATGATGGTGCTCGAGCTACCGTCTCACCGTTTCTGTTAACGGGCCTTTTGGGTTTAGGCCAGGAAACCTTTCTAAGGATCCATTTAAACAAATACGAGGTGAACCATAGTAGACCGCGAGGAATATCTACCTCCCATATGCCGGCTAGATAGCGAGATCTAATACTTCTCCGTGTTAGCTGGACGATACTGCTGCAGGCAGCGAATATGTCATCTGGATTGGACAATTGGCGGAGCGTATAATCTGGAAGGATTCCTTTGTACCACAGGTATAGCATCTGGGTGCGTAGCTGTTTCTGCTCAGTCGTATTAGACTTCATGTTAGCATCTTCCGCAGGGGTTAGGAATGTCCCAATTCGTAGCTGTGATGAATCTTGCATGTTTAGAGTACCATCTTCCCAGAGCTGCGACCGCTGGCACGAGAAGTATACTTGCTCCATTGCGTAGACGAGTACCCTTCTACTCAGGACTTTTTCCTGAAAGCACCATCCCCGGGTACTAACAGGCCCTTCTGTCTTGTTCCGGGGTAGCCATAAATAGACGCTGCCTAAACCATCGCCGAATGGTATTGGACAGGGCGGCACTACTTGCTCCATGTTGTTTACCCTGAAGCCGGTACGACTATCTGCGGCTCGTCCGGCAATGACAGTTAACACCGCATTACCGTATACCTCGGCCATTCTTTCAGACTCGTAAAGCCAGTCCTCAAGGTTTCCCTGGATAATACAAAGAGAATCGATCCAGACATAACGGATACCTAAGTGGCGGGCAATAGCGATGCACTCCTGGTGTGTCGTTGTTAAATTATTTTCATCGATAAGTTCTAAGAGAGATGTGAAGTTCCCATCGTTTAATTCCGTGGCGTGTCGGACACCTTGTCCCCAGCAGTAAGATAGAGCTAGATACGGCTCACGTAGCCCTAAGTGCTGTGTTTGAACTAGCCTTGTCCAACCTGGCGAGATACCGATATCTAGAACGCGAGTAGGCATCTTCGGTGGTACATTATCATCTGTGGCTCTGCATTCTGGGTGTTTCTTCTGGCATCCATCTAGGAGTGCATGGGCGAAGCTGGTTTCCCCTGCTTTGTTTCTGAATGCTGTATAAAGGCGTCCGTCGAAGCGAGTTGCAACAGGTGTGCCTATACCCGTTAGTATGAAGAAAATATAAACGAACCTGAGACATATACCTGGATCCGCAAATAAGCAGAGCTCACTATGTAAAATTTCCTTTCCGAAGCTCTCCTCCGCATTCTCTTTGTTCCCGCACTGCACCCATACCCTACTGTCAGGTTGAGCACGATACTGGTCTACAACGGTAGTGTTGACAGTGCCAGCTGCTGTCTTCTGTTCCAAGTTGTGGGAGAGATCTGAGAACATCCTCATCAACCAGACCCGCTCGTCACCCAGTGCCTGCCCTGCGTTTTCATAGTTGGAGGGGAATCTACCGTCTAGTACGGAATTGATTTCACCGGCTGTGTATTTACGCTGGATGGAAATCCAACATAGCAGACACAGATCGCAACCCGCCGTTGCAGAGTCCCGGAGTGACCGTAAGTTAGGGTGGAAAAAGGTCATATGGCAATTTAGTTCCTCTATGGTTAAGGCAGCACAAGTTTTACATCGCGTCATTTTCCCCTTGGTGTTTACTTAAAATCGTTCTCGTTATTCCCTTTAACAATCATCATTAAACCTAGGTAAACCACTTAGCACGAATGTTTGGATCCGAATCATGAAAAGTACGGCAAACTCGGAGAAACCCCATCTTTTTATAGCTGGCGAAGCTGCGAAGTCAGTCTTAGATATGCTGAACTGTTACATCGACTAAGGCCAAAAAGTATGTGAACCGTGTTTCATGATTGCTCGGTCAGCCCATCATTGTTTGATCCTTGACACGAATGCAGGCGGCACAGCCATGGTAACAATCAGTTATAGAAGATGTAGAAGCAGATCCGGAGGGAAGTAAACAAGAAGGTAAATAAGAAGGCTACGATACCCCCATGGGCCCATAGATCAGTGCAGGTGGATACTCTACGGATCCGTTTAGGAAAACTAGGTAAAGCCGAAAGTCTAGAGTCAAAACGGGACCGGAACTGACAAAATCTAACCTAAAGGAATAGACCTGGTTGACGCACAGCCATGATGAGTTAGTAAGCAGAGTACAAGTTCGTTGGAGGTGAGATAGAGATGATAAGCGGGCAGTTATCGCTTTTATAATAGTTAGTTCACTGGTATTGACTTATATGAATAACAGTTAAATTAAAAAGATAATAAAATGAAATTATAAACTTTACTCCTCATATTCATAATACTTTTAACCTGTTACTTTTGAATTTATATGCTCACACTTACTGCGTTAGAATACCTAGGCAGGTAGTCAGTCACTGTTTTAGGTACCTTTAAGTCCTGTTTACCTCTTATGTGGCAGTAAATTTTAAAGCTGTCAGCAACGCACGAGCCCCTTTATCAAATGTCCCCGTCTCCACGCGACACCAGCTTTTCGGAACACCGCAGTTTAAACATCAACTTAGGTACCTAACCTAGGTAGTCAGTTGTCACATCCTCCCCCCCTCATTCTTTAACAACGCTCTTTTACTATTAACTAGTCTAAATACCAACTATACAATTGAGTCACGATGGCTTCTTTCAAGAACTCCCTACCACCGGATCTCTTCGACCGGACTACGCTCGTGTCCCTCGCCTCGACCCTCGCGATCCTAGCGGTCGCCTACCTTATATCTCTACAAGCCCTCGACCAGAAGACGCCGGGAAGCCATCGCTTCTTGTTTATATGGCACGCGTTCGATGCCCTGATACACTTCCTCCTCGAGGGGAGCTTCCTCTACCATTGCTTCTTCTCGTGGATACCCCTTTCCAAAGTGGCTAATCCACACTGGTTGGCGCCCACCGCCCACAATTTCCTCGGTCACGCCGATCGCGCGTACGGCTCGCAGGCCGGCGGCAACAACCCGTTTGCTCAGCTTTGGATGGTGTATGCGAAGGCAGACCGGAGATGGGCCGGTGCGGATCTGGTAAGAACAATCCCGTTGCTTTATATCGACTCCTCAGCATTTTGTTGCTAACATAACCCTTTCACTTAGACCGTTATTAGTCTCGAGCTCCTGACCGTCTTTATTGCCGGCCCCCTCGCTTGCCTCATCTGCTACGGCATCGCAAAGAAAGATCCGCGCACCAACATCCTGCTGATCATAATCGCGACCATGGAGCTGTACGGCGGATTTATTACCTTCTGCCCCGAGTGGTTAACCTCGAACTACAATCTCGACACGAGCAACTTCATGTACAAATGGGTATACCTGGTCTTCTTCAATATGCTGTGGGTGTTCATCCCAGCATATGCGATCTGGGTTGCTGTTAAGGATATCGATCACGCTTTTGCCATAAGGGACAAAGTTGCGAACAAGGTTGCGAGCAAGACTACGTCGTCGTCAAAGAAAAAGTGATTTAGTTCAGAGGACCTGGTGACTTGGGACAGTTTCTAGGAGTATATTGCTCCCCAAGTTTCGGTATACAGCCGATGTCTGTAGATGTTAGCATCGATGCTGTAGTATGATACCCATCTTAGCTATTACTTGCTACTGACAGTTGAGATAGGTAATATAAGAGTTTACGATTTATGGCATGTTTGAAGTCAGTAGTTCTAGTATCCTTTCTTAACTCGAAATTAGAGGCTGATCAGATGCCTCTACTGATGACAAAACAGATATCGCCGAAGCTGACGTGATTGCTCTATTGTAACTCTATTGTAACTTAATGTGTAAACCAGATACAAGAATTCGTCTGGTTGGTTGCCCGTTGGCTGTACTGCCCGCATCTGAGTTGGCATCTCAGCCTGCATATGCACGGCGAAACGCACGTCAGACTTTTTGCATTTCCACCATACGTTATCTTTAAAGCCTTGCATTCTTTTTATTTTATTGGATATAAAATCCAATAGATGAGGGCTATGCTCTGGAAGCAGGCTGAGCACCGATGTCACCACAGGGAAACTAGAGAAGGGGGGTTTACCAAATTAACAATCATAAAGTGCATACGTTCCCTGCCTAGCATCTCAGCCAATATTCTTAGGTATCTCGCCTTTCCCATCCCTAATGTTCTTAACTACGTCTAACGTGGCTCTAGCCACTATCGTATGTACATATGTTTTTACTTTCCTTGCCTTATTGTCTTCCGCCATACACGTATTCATGTGTATTAAGAAGAGTAGACTTTCATGGGATGATATCTCGACCTTCATCGCTTTTGCTATGACATTAGGCCTGGTGTGTCAAACTACCTGGGCAGTAATCGACGAAGGTCAAGGCCAACACGTCTCGGATGTGACACGAAGCCAGTTTGAACTGACGGCCAAGGTATGTTATTAAATATATATGAACTAAAATATGGCAAATAAGGATGTGTTAAGTTGAACATCTACTAATATAATCTCATGTGCAACTGTGCAGTCTTTACTTGTCAATGAGGCTTTATGGGCAGTTATAAACATGTTTATTCGACTTTCTGCCTTAGGCTTGATTTATACACTATTTAAAATAAAACGGATTGTGATGATATGGACATGGGCTTTCATAAGTATGTCGATTATGCATGGAATTGCTGCTATATTGACCGGTGTCCTCATATGCCATCCCATCCAGGCATCATGGGATACACGGGTTCAAGGCACGTGCGGAAACCAAACTACAGCATATGTTGCGCTAGAGGTCGGCGGTCTCGTTATTGATATAGCTATTCTAGTCATACCAATGATTAGTATTCTCGGACTCAGACTTAACATGAGACGCAAGCTCGGTATTATCTTGATGTTTTCAGCGGGTTCCTTGTAAGTTAGCACTACTACTCACCGACGTCAAAACTGTAATAAGGCTTACTAGTTACTACTATAATAAACCGTAGGGTTACTATCATCACGAGCTTCCGCATCGCCGCGTTACATCGAGTTACTAGTACTGATTTCAGCTATGATCAAGGTTACTTAGGACTACTGTCTACTCTAGGAGCGCTTCTTGGTATTATTAGTTGTTGTTCAACTTCTCTTCCTTCATTCATCCACTATCTTAGTCCAGGAGAGACTCGTCGACAACTACCCCTAAACAGTCCTAGATCCAAGCGGACGACTCCCCAGACAGATATTCAAGAGGCTAGATCCCTAAGCAATCACTGCGAAGAAAAGGAATGTGGTGAAGAGCAAATCGTTAAAGAGGGAGATATTGTTTAGACCTTGGAAATCCGTATGTCAAGAAATCTATAACGGGAAATAAAATGCTTTAAATAGGTAGACTTATATTAGAAGGAATATTTAGCGACCACTAGTAGAGTGCTGTATAATCACACCTTTTCTTTTACCATTTTTCATGAATTTTGACTAGGTAGATAACTATGTAAAAACGTAATAAACAGAAACTGCATTCTATGATAAAGACACGATCCGCCCTCGCACCATCAGCCCAATTAGCTACAGCTTACATATACAACTCGTCCATTTGAAGCACTGCATTTGCATACCACAATCACACGTGCTTTATCGCGCAATTTGGGCCGGTGTGGCTATCTACAAACTGGGCTCGTTTTCGACAAGGAGAAACTTTTCCCCTCCTAATCCGCTACTATCTAGAACCCCAAACAGGTGTATTGTTCTTAAGTATCGGGGTCATGTTTCTACCATCATTCGAGTCAACCGAACTACCCGGGGTTTTGCGTTTCCCAAACGCGTTTGAGCCAAGAGGGGATGGACCGGGTGCGGCCTTCGGACCAGCCGGTGTGCTAGCCGGGGCAGTGGGAGGAGTGACGGAGGGAGCGGCGGGAGCGATGACGGGAGCTTGCGGTCTATTTTGCTGAGAGAGATTACCACCCAGAATTTTACCAAGCTCGGAATCGGGATTTGACTGTTTCAAGTAGTTAACGAAACTCTCGACAAATTCTTTCGTTTGGTTACTCTGACTCGCCATAGCATTTAGAAACTCCACTATCTCACTCCCAAGTTTAGAGAAGCGTCCCTCGAGAACATTTATCGCACTGAAGTCAGTCATCATTATGTCGTTATTCGTCCCCGTTGCGGTTTGCGTTGGGAGGGGCGAGGCGCCGTCGGGACGGTGATAGTAGTGATTGTGGTGGTGGTAATGATGGATACCATCTTGCTGGGATGACTGTTCTGATGACTGCTGTTCATTATGATGAGTGTGTGAGGAGGATTGTTGAAAAGGATTTGGTTGGGCTACCTGCTTTTGGAAGGCATGTGTTTTTTTAGACGCAGTCGGGTATCGCGAATTATGATGATACTTGGCGTTATAGCCACCATGTTTTGATGAGCCAGGGGCCATAAAAGTATCGTCGAAATCCGGCCTATCCTCGCTGGACTCATCGTATTCTATATACCTAGGAGTAGGACGTGAATACCGGTTGCCTTTATATCCACCTCGTCTGTAGCCTCGTCCCATTTTCGGCAGGTTGAATCGTTTTTTTATTCGGATATGGATAGGTATTTATTAAAACTGTATTGGATCGACTTATTTAGATCGATAGGGAGGATGAAGAGTCTCCTTATGCCCAATAAAATCTTTATCTCTGTGTCCAAAGGGTGTCAGCGTTTTGTTGTTGGACAACAATCGCTTTGTGAATGCGCTTGGCCGCTATTTTCTTTGTTTTTGGGAGTAACAATGCTTTAGTCTTGTAATTCACTATCATACCAAGTTGTCGCACAGTTACGTGGACTTTTTCGACTTACTGTTCAAGTCCCAAATCATCTCCAATATCTGCTTTTAAGGTAGTAGAGTCTGTCGTCTGGCTCGGGATATAATCTCTAGTTGTGCGGTAGGTCCAGTTTTGTATATATGGTAGACCTTATACAACACTATGTTTAAAGGCAATCGTTACTATCCTTATGGGCCCAATCATTTATCGTACAAGGGAGAAGCCTTGTCGGGTATATTTAACGCGTTTAGTGTCGAGATAGTTTCCGAGTTTGTAACTAGTTGATTCTTGTCTTGCGCAATGATAGGTTTATCATAATGCTATTAGGATCAATAATCTATCAATTCATTGTTTTAGTTCAAAGGATCATAGCTCTCTTGATTGTTATGCCAAAGAAATCTATGTACTAACTTCCTGAGCTAATATTATAGAAACCAACTAGCCCAAAGTGCTACCTTTACACGCACGCACTTGCAAGAGTCATTCTACTAAGGATAATCTTAAAGTTCAAAATCAAGTTAACTTTTACTGTTGGTGTCTTATAAATAATTTCAATAATTGGGCATCTCATCTATATTCATGCAGTTGAATAAAGGATGAGGATCGGCAGTAGAACGCGAATCTATAACTTCACTATAGGCATTAAGAATAATACCGAGCCCTCGGTAGGGAGTGGGACTTTACTCTCGGGTTCTCTTACCTTATGCAGTCTATACGGCACTTTGCTTAGATTATCCACGTTGAATAGAGTGGTAAGGGTTGGGTAAAGCAACATCTGATCACAAGCAAAAGGCTGCCCCCACTTGTATATACCGTGGCGTTAATGTCATCATACGGAGAGATTATTCAGCTCGCCAGCTAAATTGATTGGTCGGGTCATCATGTCTACCTAGGTATTATACATCAATGATAAGCCAAATCTCAATTTAACCGGTAACCAGCATATGAACGAGTGACAGATGAAGACTACACCACTGGTGACGGGCCGATAAGATACCCCTATTGCTATATAAGTAGATTGAATAGCGGCCGTGATGGATGAATTGTTGCGATATTTCTCACCCGCATAATTAATAGCGCGACAGACAAGTCCATAGTTGAGAAAACGCAAAGACGATGGTGAAACCTGACGCGGTAATGAAGGCCATCACCGGCACTTGGCTCTACCTAAATGTTACATCGTAAGTTTGAGCTGGCTTATCATGAGATGTTCTTTACTTACAATTAGCTAAGGTACTTCGATAATGGCACGGTCTCGCACGACCCGGATCCCGCGTTGGGACAGTTTCCTGTCGGCATGTTGACTTACAATACTGCTGGCTGGATGTCCGCCAATTTCGTGTCCTCTAAGCCGGAGGACCGTCCCGAGGATATAGATACGGGGGCCCCGGATGTTGGCACGGATGCTGAGTGGGCACTCATTGGCAAGCACACGCTGGCATATGCTGGGCCTTGGTACGTCAGCGAGACGACAGACGACGTCGAGGTGGGCCAGATTACACATGGGCCGACAAAGATCGCCTGGTTACCTACGTGGGTTGGGATAGAGTTACAGAAGAACTATACGTTGTTAGAAGACAACACGATGATGCGTTTTAGATCAAGGACTCAGGATAGCAAGAACGGAGATATGTTCTTTAAGAGATTGGCATAAAGCAATCCCTAGGTATCTACCTCCTAATGTACGAGGAGCTATACGGTGTGATAAGATCTGAGCAAAATTTCAAAGGTTTAATTAGAATAGTATATTTCTGATATATCTAATTATTCATACTTCGTAGAGTGGTAGCCAACCTTTGGCATTTTAAATCCCGCCTAACTCCCTGTATTGTAAATAACAAAAAGATATCCTCAAACATGGGCCTGTCCAGGCCGTTGCAGTTCAATATTATCCTCAGGGCCGTGCAAGGATCCCCTTGGCGAGACAGAATAATTATCACTATGCATAGGATTGATGTGCGATTGCGATGTCGACCCGTCGGTACCATTTTTCGAAATGCCTGGATGGTTTACGTTGTGATAGTTGCGACTCGACGATGACTTTGCGCTGTCGAGAAAACGGCGGGGAGAGAATAGGGGTTTTAGCGCTGGGGCGCTTGCGCACCAGATCGCCACGTTAATTTCGACCATTGACCAAACATTAACCTACGACGGAGTTAGATGAAGGCTCTCGAGTAAAGATTGATTGGGCAAAAGGCTTTTAGAGAAAAGTATATGAGTACGTACAAGAATACTGTCCCGGAAGGGGTCAGCAGCCAGCGTATAGGTGTGTATAGAGTAGAGCCGAGCACAAGAGAAGGCCGTTGCGAGGCCACCCACACCGAAAATACCGTATAGAACATGCCTGCTGCGCTTCGATATCTGTAAATGCTTTAACGTGGGTATAGGGATCATGAGGATCCAAAGGTCTAGAATGATTCCGAAAATAGATGTGACTAGAAAATGGTGAGTTCCTGAGTAGCTCTATCAATGAATGCTTAGTACTGACAGTAAAAGAAGGCTGTGGTGTTTATGCAACTTCCTGGTACATATCGCGAGAGGTCCCAGGCCTTCTGAAGAGGTGTACACTGTCCAACTACCACCCCAATGCATATAATGAAAAATATAGCTAGGAGGCCATTTGTGCCCTTACACAAATTTTTAAAGGTGTCCGATATAGCTGCAATCTAAGATTAATTTTGTGTAATGATATTAAAGATGTAATGCAAACCACATACCGAATCTGTCGTACATGAACACGATTGACGATTTGACGCAGCTTAAAACCAAGTAGTACAGAAGTTCGATGGCGAAAGTTAGCTTTTTAGTTATTAGTGCTATGCCACAACATATATAACTACAGGAGGTATATAGAACTTACCTGGAGGAGCGCCTCCTTATTAGCCAAAGATATGGTCCCCATAGGAGTACCCATTCCCTTAACCTTTCCAATGTAAAGGGTTGCGAGGTAGCCAAGGGTAAATATCTACCAGTTGTCAGTATAAAGGTAACTAGTGTCATGGCAAACAAAATGTGAAGCATACCAGAGCGCCAACAGACATCCAATCATCCATGCCCGCTTTCTTCAAGACCCCAAAACGAATCCATGATCGAGTGAGTACTGCAACGACTATTGCCCGCTATGTTAGTCGGAGGCAACATATTTAGGTAACGAACTAAACGAAAGTATCGATGTAATTCTTACCCGAGATACCCGTTAACACTGTCGATACCGTAAGGAGGATCGTTATTTGAGTATAATCGATCGGCTCAGTGGTTGCCATCGCAGAGCACGTAGGCCTCAGTTGAATAGAGCGGTGTCTAAAGGTGTTGCTATTCGATTCCAATGATGATGATGATGGTATTCGGACTTATTGGCCTTATGAGGGATCGGATTGTTGTAGATACCAGATTATAGTATGCTGTTATTCCATTAAACCGATAAGAAACCACAATCAAATAACGACGTCAAGAAGCTCTCTCTTTAATATCTAGTCTACTTTTAATTCCCGCTACGACACTGGATCTCCTGATCTGCACATCGATGAGTGCAAAATACGGGGTACGTCGCAATTACTCGAAGACAGCATCGAACTAGGGGTTACTAAATGGACTAAGCGTCCGGTGTTTCTTCTTAGCTTCGAGACCGTCGATAGTCCTGTGTTAGTAGCCTGCATTAGCATCGCTTGTCCTTTACCACCCCGGAAGTCGTACCGGTCTAGAAAAGCCCGTACATAGCAAGGAACCCATGCAGCCGTGGACGTCTCCTACTCCCGTACCAAGATCCAAACGAGTCAGACCACTCAGCTCAGCCCTGTCCTGATTAATGTCAGTGCGTACATTTCCTCAGCTTGTCATGACACTAGTCTCGGCTAGTTCAAACTACAGAAAGTCCTCGAAAAAAAAGAGATCAAGGATGGTTCAACTACATCAAGGTCGACTCAGGAAGAACGCAGTCCATCGCCTAAATGAGCCAAGAATGAAAAACTCGACGACGCAGGTACCAGTTAGATACTTTTACATTCAGGTCCAAAAAGTGTTGGATGGTTTACGAGTTGCTAAATAGTAAATAGTCTAGAAAATTTTGAGTTGAAGTGTGGCATCTATGTGCCTCTATTTCGTCAACTTACTGGACATGGCAAATTCTGTTGGTATTCTTAAACGAAAATCACGTCGAGTTAAACTTTAAATATCTCGCTAGTCAATGTGAAGCTAATAATAAGTTGATGGTGGTTGTAGATCTTTCGATTAGTGAATTCCCAATGACATGTTATACGCCGGCTCTTGAATCTAGCGAAGTCGTAACTGTAAATTACACTAGATTTAGCGATGCACGATGAGGATGGGATCGCTTTCGATCAAACAACCATACCCTCCACTCAGTCGGTACGATTCCGGCGCCTAAATTCTTTTTTAGCTCTCGGGGAAGACATTTCCGAAGGTGCTTTTCCTATGTCGGGATAGTTCTTATAAACAAGCAAAGCATTAAGCTATAGTCGTGTTAGTAAGGATTGCGGCTGACACGTACCCTTGTCGCAGAAAGTCCCGCGAACTCGGTTGCATTAACTCAGGGGGAAGTGCTTCAAGGATCTGCGTAAAGAGGTGCTGTATCCCATTTGTTTAAGGGACTTGGGTACACATCAGATTTATACCTACCTTAGGTAGGTTTAATAAGTCATTTGGCATTTGGCATTTGATATCTTGAGAGAGACGGATTATAAATCGATGATAACCTCATTTATAATAGACAGTGTTTTAGCAATCTTTAGTACCTAACAAATTCTTTGTTTTGAATCAGCGTTCCAAACATGATTCTTAGGAAGTCGATACGAGAAACGAGATAAATCCCGCCAAGCAAACAGGACACCCTAGGTATCCATTACCTATCCCATAGTATTATGGTCTTCCTTACTTAGCGAAGGAGTAACTAAATTCGAGTGGTTTTCAGTTGTGACTTGTTTGATATTATTTAACCTTTTGTCAAACAGTTAGACTGGCCTAGATTTCCCTGTCTCCTATTCAACAACACATCAAGAAGGACTAATTGTAGCATTTGACCCAGCAGTAGATATTCTACCTATTTGGGGTACCTAGGTAGTTTAATAATGCCTGCGACACCCGCCTCAACAGGGAGACCGCTGTTTTGAAACAGTTGGGAGATGTCTTGATATATCTATATTCTTAATGCCCAACCATTGATTGCGCCCGCCCGGCTTGGCTCTCCCGTGCCTTACCTTGTATGATAATTGTCGTAGTGGCTGGGCGTTGGAAGAAAGGGCCTAGAAGTACGCTAAAAAGGGTTTTATGAGTTGAAATGACCAGGAATAAGGATGTTCCTAACGCTACTAATTTAGTATTTGCTCTAGACCAGTGTCGCTTATGTCAGTTATACGACAATAGGGTGTGAATGATAGAAGAAATACTTTGAGGGTTAAAACGGTAAGTATAAAATCATTTCTATTCTAGGCCGAATATCACTTCGAGTCAGTATGCTTGGCACTCCACGGATTGGTAAGAACACCATAATTGAAACCCGTCCCAGGGAATCGTCATATCTAGAGTTATCTACATACCTTAGGTACATGAGCTAATGATCTTCGACGTTTCCATAATACTCTCATATTAACATTAGGTACCTAGGCAGAATTAGGTATTATATAATGCCCAGATGAATATTCCGAACATACGGTGAGTTTTATATACCCAGCAGCAAATCTAGATATAGGTACCGTACCCCCATAGTTAAGAGACATTAAAGAAGTATCAAAATTTGAACAACCTACTTAGTCTAGGTATTTTATGACTTGTTGGTACTTCTGTGCGTGCTCAACTACCTGTTAATATTCTGTCTTTTTATCAAAGAAATGACGTTACCTTTAATCTGGAACATAATAGATGCCGAAGATTCGACAACCAACAACATTCTGACCGACGCTAAGTAGCCTCACGCACAAAAGTTTATTGTTGGGATAACGGTCATGTGGCCTCGTCACGTGACCAGGGTTATGCCCACACACACCGCCCACGCACAGCCCACGCGTTTGTACAATAGACACTTTTCCCCATTTGGGGGAACCCCTCCTCTCTTACCTTAAATAATAACAACAACCAATCAAAACCACAGTTTTTATTTCTATTTTTATCGTACTACGTAATACAAAGTAACTCCAACATTTATATGGCGATTATAATAATAGTTACCCAATAAATGAAAATCTGTAGTAATAAGCTTATAATCCCGATGTGTATTTAATAGAAGGTGTCAGAGATACCCGTTGATTGATGTCATACACAGAGTAAGTGTCTAAGGTAGGTAGACCAAGTAGTATATTGTATTAATCTAGTAACGCCTAGCCTTTTATCCTCTTTTGAGGGCGCTGTGCGCCCCTTATATAGTCGATAGACCCCTGTAGATACCCCTACCCACTTATACACTGACAGAAGGATAATCCACCATATGTATATCTGTTAGATGCCATTATCTTTTCCGAAAATAAAGATCAACATTCTCATGCTATGCTTCTCCAATACCTCTAGCATGTTTCCTATTTTATGTTTGGTCTTTCAGCTAACTAACTTATTATCCATCAACTTTGAAGGTTTAAAAAGGGAAAGACCACTTCACTAATATAACCTCCAATTTTAATTCTTAGTATTCAGTTTTAATAATGCGTTATTATAGGCACAGCTCCAATAGATCAATATAAAAAGATCTTTAAGACTTTAAGTATCTTTGCCTTAGTGTGAAAGGGTAAAAGGGACGTTGAAAGGCGCTTGTAGTAGTTTCCCCCTTAATGAAGTTGATTAAAAGATACTTCGGCTCATAATATTTTTCAACATATTTGATCTCCGATATACTCCATCTAATAGTATACTTCCCGAAGAAAGTTTCCCAAGACTCACAAATGTAATGGCTAGAATGTGACGACGTAAGGATTGGATTTAAACTGGGTAGGTAGTTAAAATGATTATAACTCATGCTTTCACATAAGTCCTTATTCATGAGTTTTGACTTTCTTGGAAAAGAAGTGAACTTCTTATATTGCGAACGCTATCATATATCGACCTGCTCTTTTTCGTAGTTTATGCCAATTGGCTTGCAAGGGTTTCATGTAGTCAGCAACTAACAATTCTGTATTTGTAAGTGTATATGCCCCTTTATTAAAGCATGAAACCCCGATTTTATTCCTGTGCCGCATCATAGCAGCGATGGCATGATCGACCAGGGCCACCAACGCCTTGACCTCGTCTTATCGCGTGAAAATTACCGCCATAGGTGGAAGAAAAAAAAAATATTTCCAGACCCGCTTCGGACAGCGTGGGAAAGCCCCGCGCAAAAGACCCTTAAACCCAATCTTGATAACTAGAATAACCCGAAATAATCAAGGTATTTACCGCACAATTGGTTGTCAAACCCCCACCACTGGTCAAAAGGCGGCTATTTTAATGCAGTTGGCAGTTATCTTCAATTTATATAACCATCCAGTATGAAGGATTATTCATCACATGCCAACCCCCATCATGATCACTCGGTTAGGGAGGTTATGATTTGTCAATGAGATGCATTAGTCGTCGTATTCTAAACAATACATACCACCTTTTGTAGCATTTTAGGAGCGAAAGCCCCATTCGCAACTACGCAGACCATGCCGCTGTACGGCGAGCCTTTTAATACAGAATCGAATATAAAAGGTGCCCATGCCTCTATAGCCATGTTTACTAGAGTTTGATCAAGACAACTACCTGTATAACTACGCGAAGGACAGCATCCCCTACAACCATACAGCCAACACCAAATTCTCTCGTAAGGGAATTTCTATTCAATATGGCCATTTCATATGAAGTTGCGCAAAAAGTCATCAACAAGAAACATCTATACTGCCGACTTGTCGATACCGACCAATTCCAAAAGCTCCAAGAAGAGGTCACCCTACCCGACGCAACGTTCACCTTCTACTCAGATGGCAAAATTATAAATGAGAAAGGAGTCGAGTTTAACTGGTCGTCAGCTGCAGACTGGGCGAAGTACTTCGAGAACAGATTTAAGAACTCACAAGTAATCCACCATATCGCACCGCCGCATCTGGAGCAGATCAGCCCCGACGAGGTCAAAGCAGTATTTGGTGTTCAATATTCTGCCGGTCCGAAGGATTCACTCACTGAAGGACACCACAGCGGCGGAGGCTATTACTACGAACGCTATGTGCGGAAAGGTGACGACTGGTTTCTCAAGGAGTTGAAGATGCACAACACGTATGCTAGAGTATGATAATCTCGGATATATAATATGGAAACATTCTACTGAGCGACAAGCTCTGTAAAAAAATAAAAATAAAAATAAAAATAAAAAAAGCATGCCAACTTTCTAGAATGGTTGATAAATGAAATCATAAGATTAACCCTAACCCTAACCCTGATGTTGTCGGCATATCTAAATGATCGGCTGTCAGCTGGGGATATAGTAGCAGGAATTAGATGACAAAGTAAATAGAAGTTCTTAGTTGCTTTACCAGGTCTAGGTATAAAGGTAAAGGAAGTGTTGATAAGACTCAAGATATCAGTGATGTACACAACTGAAGCTAGACCCTTTTATTCTGCTTATTATCTTCAGCTATATTTAACATACAGTGTTACATTTTGAGGCTTATTATCCATAGATTTGATTGGATGCCTGGGCTGACGGGACCACAGCCACAGTGTCTTGTCATAACTACCACGGCTAGTTCCCTAATGAGCACATACGACTTACGGCTTGATAATTACTTCGACTTGGAAGAAATTCCTGCAAAAGTCTTACCTTCTAAATCTCTTGGTCGTAAGATTTAATATCACTAAAGCAATGATATCTTTGAGCACCAGCGCGGCCTTTGAAATATTGCAATAATGCGTCTTCTCAATGTGCACACGATGCAATTGGAGGAAATTTTCGACGTGGAAGACGCCTCCGGTTACGCTATACTCTCGCATACGTGGGGTGAAGATGAAGTATCATTTCAGAATTTACACGACGGAGAGACCAAGTTTACATCTGGCTATCAGAAGATTGAATGTTTTCGCCGCCAAGCTATCAAAGACGGGTTCAATTATGCTTGGATCGATACTTGCTGCATTGATAAAAAGGATCCAACGGAGCTTTCAGAGGCGATCAATTTAATGTTCCGGTGGTACCAAGAATCATCTGTTTGTTACGTCTATCTAGCTGACGTCGAAGCCGACGTAAGGGGATACGTTGAGAGTTCTGTGCTAGGAAAAAGTCGCTGGTGGACTAGAGGCTGGACGCTCCAAGAGTTGCTTGCCCCTAAGCGCGTAATTTTCTTTGATCAATATTGGAATGCCTTTGGCAGATTCAGATGCTATGATATGGCATTGAATCTACCTGACATTGTTGAAATGCTGCCTTCCATAACGCACATAAACAAGGAGATCCTATATTACAGAGATCAAATGAAAGATGTCACTGCAGCTGAGAAGCTATCATGGGCATCTCGCCGCCATACCACAAGAAAGGAAGACATGGCATACTGCTTATTAGTACGTAAAATTATGTAGCCAGGCCTTTTTAACCTACTAATCTCCGACAAGGGTATACTCAATGTCAATATGCCACTCCTATATGGAGAGGGCAATAGGGCATTCATTCGGCTCCAAGAAGAATATATAAAACAACACAATGATCCTAGCTTGTTAATATGGGGGTTTGGAATACCATGCACTGATGTATTTCAGGCCCGGATGACCGAGTTCCCGTTGGCACCGTTTCCCTCGCTCTTCGCTGGCTTCAATTCTCTCACTAGAAGATTTGAGAAGAACAAGGTACCCTTTGCGTTTTCACGCACAAACAACGGAATTGAAGTCGAGCTTCTTCTATTAACCCTCGAAGACAACGTACAGCTTGCTCTTTTTGGATTGGATCATGATTTCTACAGCCGTTATCGGAAAACTTCTAAGCTCTCACTACTGAGGCGTCTTTCTACGTGGCAACCTGCGAATGACACAAGGAGTCGCGTACAGAAACCTATAATCGCGGTACCATTAAAATACTGCCACGCAGAATCTCGGGTCGGATTTGACGTATATGAGCGTATTTTATTATGGCCGCCTTTCCTCATACCAGAGGATTCATGCATGAAAGCCGAATGGAAGAGAGCGTGTATTAAAGCTGCGAGTTCCCAGACGATATCGCCTGCGTCCGAAATACGATTCAATTTGTTATTTCCAATCGACATACAAGTATTGCTTGATAATGGCTTCGGCATGACAAGCGTCTACACACAGCGAGATACTACTGTCGGGAATGATCTAATATTATATGTACTACATGGCACGCAATACAAAAAACGCCTGTTCATCTTCGAAGGACCTAATAGCCTGCCCTTGGGGTTTCTTATTGATGACCGATCCCAATACAAGCTAACAGCAGGTGTGCTAATTGGAGAAATATGCATATCCGACGTGACACATCTATTACCCCGATGTGGCATGGTATTCAAGCATATAGGTATAACAGGGTGGTTGGCCACCATAAAAAGCAGGCTATACAAGGAGTCGATTATCGAAATATCTGGCGAGCAGCTAGGGAGGTTTGAAATATGGACTCTGAATATATCACTGCACACGAGACGCCAAAAGTCTGGACGAAGTCTTACTATACAATTCGACATAATACCAATGAACCCTGTGAACAAGAAACAAACCCAGCGCATTTTGGTATGATTGCAGAAGAGATATATGGAACAAAGGATACTTTCAGTATATATAACTAGCTCAAGCTTCATAACTAGTATTAGACTTCCTTTCAGAACAGCGGAGTTATTCCCTTCCTTCTTGCTTCATCTCATAACATATCTACCTGATCAATTGGCACGATTTGAATTACTTCATCAACATTAACTATGATTCTTATGACCTACAAAACCCCCAGGGTTTAAGTAAGTTCATTATGTCATGTGGTAAGCCCCTGAATGCCCTATTGAAGTATTTTTCCTTGACAAACAAGTGAACATGCCCCTTGCAAGTGCTGGTTTACGGTAGGTATAGCAGTCTTAATAAGCCGAGTCAATCAAGTTTTTAGTAATTATTTAGCAATAGGCAGGTTAACTTAATATAATAGATCTTTTTAAGGAGTGTATAAATAGGTCCCGTTTATCAGCCACCCAAAGCTAGTTGATAGCTCTACAGTTATCCCAACAGGTGCAATCTTGATCAGGATTATATATCAGGACTTTGTTACCTATAATCTTTACACTTCATACGTAGTAAGCTTGGGTCGCTTCACCAGATCTCAATAAATCACATACCGTTTTCATATACCAGCTTCTCCCACAGCAAGAACTCTTCATCAATGTTAAGTTTTAGGACTTGCTATGACGACTTTTTCGCAACCTACCCTTCCAAACACTCAGGCGGTCAGCGGCGGGACTTTGTGGTAACTGAACCGTTGCAGTCTCCTGAGCTCCTTGCGATGCTGGAGATTCAGGTATGACTTGAGGAGGCCGGATCGCTATATCATGCGTAGATACCGCGTCCGTGTTCTGGTCATCCACATTATTATCTGTTTCCTCGTCCCGAGCTTGCTCCAGGGCTTCGACAAAGTAGTCGCAGAGCTTTTCTGGGCTTATCACCAGCTCCGGACTCTGAAATTCTTTGAGCTTCTCGACAGTCTTTTCACAAATGAAATCATGTAACGATAGACGCAACGCCCCCCTCGGGGTTAGTGTTTCCATCTTTGTCTCGGAAAGGCTGCCACTTAGGGTCAGTCATTCTACTATCGTGAAGGCGGAGTAACTTACCTGGTCCTGAACTACGCACGTAGAAACTACTTTACCACTGGCATTAAACTTCGCTTTCCATACCGAGAATGTCGCGCGGCCAGTGTAAAGCCCCCCAACCCGCTTTGACTTGTAAATTTCATTCAAGCCTATTCCAATAACAGTTCGAACCCTGCCATTCGTCCTCTCGATATACTTCCCAGCAAGCTTCGGCACTCTTAAGCCTCTTTGTGCCCATGCAACTTCTACTACCAGACCCGGACCTCTAGTCTCTGGATGTCGGAATCTAAAAGATAGGTCCGGCTGCTTTCTATCTCTAGCTGGATCAGATAGATCCCTAACTAGAGAGCTTCACCTCTGTGGCCAACTTGGCTTTAATGTTTGTAACAATATCAATAGTTTCTATGTCTGTGCATATCGCCCCGTTGTACAAACTTCGCTTTTCCCTGACGTCTTTCAACCAGTCAGTTATATGCGTATTAATCGCAGCTGCTACAGAATCATGGTAGGTGGACGGCATCCGAACTACGAATTGTTTTTCGTAACGCCCATAGTCATAACTAGCGGTTTGTTACTCGCCAGGACTTATATTACTATGTGTGAAGAAACCTTACCGAAGTTCATACTGGAAGAATTGGCAAAACGTCTTATCCTCCGACTCTTCTATCAATTCACACATCGATATATATTCTGTGTACAACAATTTTCGTTTTATCAAGATCTGTTTCTCTTTGCTGTTGCTTTTGTGAACTCTTTGAATTAAGTTGAGCACGTTGTTCCTCCGGGCGACTGCCCTAGAAGACAGTTTAGAGGGTGCCAGACTGCTAGTGCTCCGAGAAAGTGTATATGTCTCTTCCGTTAAAATTCCCAGGCTCTCTCTCGATTGACTGCCCTGGGCTTGATCCAAGGGAAGTACCTTAGGGGGTCCTATTACGGTCGCGGTAGGAGTAGCCGAGGGTAATCGTTCTGTCTTAGAATTTAATAACAATGAATCACGAAGGGAACCTCCCAGCTTAGATATCTGGAAAAAGTCTGCTATGCGCGTACTTCTATATGAGAGCTGATCTTCCATCCTGATAAAGCACAATGAGAGGGGCGCAGTCGGGTCGTTTTGGTAATGTCTGAATCCTTTGATATAACGGTATATTAAGTTCTGCAATTGATATATGAAGCGGAAGTAAGTTATTGATGTATGCAACCCGGATAACTGCAGGTTTGTTGACCAGTAATCGTACTCCTCGATATGATGACTGATAAGTTGAGGTCTCAATAAGCCTTCACGATCGGATACTGTTCCCCTCGTCGGACAAGGAGAACATACATAATCATGCAGCCCTTTCCGGTGTGCTTGAAAGGTATCGGCCGGTATTGTATCGTAACGTTCCCGTCTCCAGCTCTCAAGGGGTAATCAACATAGAAGTTCGGACATGATGTAATCTATATATAGCAGCATTTGTCATAAATCATACGTAAACTGACCGTTCGCTATGACTCCTCTAGCTCTGTAGCGAATTAGTTTGAAGTAGCCCGATTCTGTACAGTTAACTATTCACCTATAGCATGTAGTAATTACGACGGGTCCCTACTACGTTTAATAGAGGTTTAACTTTGTGCCAAACACCAGCATCTGCGAAATCTATGAATATGGTTAGAGCAGTTAGCTGTCGAAAGCCCAATTCTCCTAATAGCTTGGCTACCTACCTATACTATCTAGATAGTACCTCTAAATTATATTATTCACTCTTTGCACTCATATGAATTCCAATCATTTGAATCGCCGCCCCGAAAATAAGCGACCTGAGGCCAAGGACAGAGCTTACTCGTCTTCCCCTTTAAGTCCTCATCCTGGGGGTCAGTCCCCAACATTTTAGATGGCGGCTTTCCTGTCTCAACCCATTCCACGATAGCTTCAAGTGCATGCCAAGTCCCTGGGACTTGTGGATAATTTGGAGCCGAAGTGCAATGTCCGCCACCAGGTACCATGAACACGCGAAACCAATCGCTCACATCACAGCCAAAGAAGTTTTCGATCTGGTGGAGATGATGAATCGGCCAGATGGCTGCATTGAGCGGATCAGTCCAACCCTGATACACAATCATCTTCGAGCCGGTTTTCTTAAATTTCGATAGATCCGGGCTGATCTCGTCGATAAATGTACCTACTTTTTTGTCCATCGCATCTACGTCCGCTGCCCAATTGAAAGCTGAGGCATCATATGACAAGTCGTCGAAAACCATATTCTGTAAAATCGGGATTGAGAATGCCTCTGCAAGGCTCCCTTCTTGTGCTATCCATTCTATTTCGCTTCCAAACGAGAACCCGGGATACAGAGAGGCGTTGGTTCGAGAGTCAACAGGGCCTGTGTAGATCTTCTGCACTGCTGATATCTGTGCCGGGGTCAAACAGGCAGTCGAGTTTGCTTCTGGGGATTTGCATCCCAGTGTTGAGACGTCGAAGTCACACGCCAGAGGGTTTTCAAGGACTCCGTCCTCGACACCGTCAAGAGCATCGCATTTTGTTATAACAGCTCGCGTTATGAGATCAAGGGCAGTTTGCGGTAAGAAGTTCGAGCCCTATGACGATTAGCTGCGCGGTACTTCCTCTGAAAGCTGTATTTGCGGCTTACCTGAGTCGCCTGGGCATTCCACAGGAAAGACAGGGCAAGGTGGGAATACCAATTCCCTGGGCATCCAGCTACAATACCGTCAAACAAGTCCGGGTGAAATTGTGCCAGAGCAAAACCTTGAGCACCACCAGTAGAACAGCCTTTGTAATAGCTATACTTTGGAGCTTTCCGGTAGAACGCAGTCGTTATATATCTCGCAGCCGGGGTAAACTGCGCAATCGAGTTGTGTATCCATGCCAGGACTTGGTCCCTGTCGTGCAAATATGGCAAATACACACCAGGTGCGCCATTCCCACCGTTATTCTCGGAAGCCAAATGACCTGAATTACCGCCTGCGACTGCGTATCCTTCGTTGAGGTTGCCTATCATATCGCTCTCGGCGATGACACCCGCCATGCCACCATTTCCTACGACTAGGAATCGACCGTTATATTTCTCGGCAGTGGGCAGCCAGAGTTCAAAGATAACCGAGTTGTTTTTAGGGTATGGCGCTTCGCCAAACAAGCGACATAATGGAGATACGTTATACTTGTTAGTAATATTAAGAGTATTCTCGGGTATATAGCTGGCGTTTAGGATCGTTACACCATCGCCTATTCTCCGGAGTGAGGAGGCAAATCTGGAGCAGTCCTTCACTTGCCAAGGCCCGCCGCTTGAGGCGTGAGCGACAGCAACGAACAAAGAGCAAAGTAGAGCATTGACTCTCATGATGGATATGAGTTCCTGGTAACAGTTCGGTCATAAGCCTGAGAGAAGGAAGACCAATACATTAAGTATATATTTTAACTACCATAACGTTAAGATAGTCTTATGTACAAGATTCAACTAGCACTCCTTCAATTCAGGTTATTACATGAATCAATTGTATGAAAAGTGACATCGTTCAGCCATTTTCAGAAACCTGCCGACGAGAGCGGCGTAGAAATGCCCCGAACCGAAAGCTGGAATTATCGGATACAACATAAATCGCAACATCGTTATACAAAGACCAATACTACGGCTATACCGGTAGCGTACGCCAGAAGTAAAAATCCCATGCAATAATAACTATAAGAAAAGGGGATACAGAGCAGCAGAGCTAAACCGAATCATCGTAGAGCTTCCGACGACCCTGGTCTCATTCGCAGATCCCGAACATATTCCCGAAAACAGGAGACGGGCTCCGTACGTTGAAGAACTAAAGCTCACAACTCCGCATTGCCAACATGGTATATGTAGTACTTAGTAGACTTTACCCCTCGTTAGTCTAACTAGTAACAGGTGATTGAACAGTATACTAACGACGTGATGGCCTCTCTATCCACCTTAGGGCTACCACTCCACGATCAAGACCCCGGAAATTGGATCGCCTTATTTGAGCTAGCTTCATCCCCACAATCCCCGCGTTTGCGGTCAGGCTTTTCCCACCAATTTTCCCCCCAGGCGGTCAGAGATATTATTATTATTATTATTATTACCTATTATTATTCAGACGTCCCGCTCCGCTCCTTTAATGTTTACCGGATCTTCACCGCCTTGACCGTCTAAACCTAGCGACTTGCCAAGTGAGTTCTGCCTTGCTCACTCACTCGCTCGCTCGCAGTTTTCATCGGGAAAGTCGTCTGTGCTGTAAGTCAGCTCGGAAAAGATGGCGGACAGGAAATCAGAGCTCGATGTTGAGATCGCGAAGGAGGTATGGCTTTGAATCGCAAATTTTACTTCAAATGGTTACGGATAAGAAGTTGACACTCTTCTAGGAATTCAGCGCGGTCGTTGCTCAATATGATACCTCCGGCCCCATCACGGAGGCCGAGAAGGCGCTGCGATGGAAGCAGGACAAGCGCATTGTGCCATTGTCGGCTGGCATCTATTTCCTGTGCTATTTAGATCGGTCCAACATAGGGAATGCCAAAATCATGAACGCGTCGACTGGCGACGATCTCATGACTGAGACCGGCATGACCAATTTTCAATACACCATTTCGCTCATGATCTTCCTTGTAGCGTATGGTCTATTTGAAGTCCCCTCCAACATCCTGCTTAAGAAGCTGAGGCCTTCCCGTTGGATCGCATTTCTCATGTTCTCATGGGGCGCTCTCACCATAGGCCTCGGTGGTGTTCACAGCTATGCCTCCGTGACCGTTGTTCGGTTCTTGCTCGGAGTGTTTGAGGCTGGTCTGTTTCCTGGTCTCGTCTACTACCTCACTTTCTGGTACAAGAGCGAAGAGCGAAGTATTCGCGTAGCTTTCATCCTCGCTTCGGCGACTCTAGCAGGAGCTTTCGGGGGCGCTATCGCTTATGGCATAGGGCATATGAATCAGGCCGGTGGGCTCTCTGCCTGGCGCTGGC